CCAAACATATTCTCGAGATCTCAGAAAGTTGTTATCATAATAATCAGATATTATAAATGATAAGATTTTATATCATTGTTAAAATTTGGAAAAATAACGATGAGCACAGTGAAGTAATAATTTTATTATTTTACATAATAGTTTAAAAATTCAAAAAAAAAAATAGATAATATCATATTCAGATCATTCTCAGAGAAAAACACATTGATTTTCAGGTACATCACATGAACACCATAAAAAATACCAAAAATAATATCACAATAACTTTATGTTGTTGTTTTTCTTATTTCTTTTTATAAAGAAATATAAGTGGCCATCCAAAATTTACAAAAAAAAGAAAATTGGCATTGTATTTATGAATGCCTGTAGGCCTAAAATAGAATTATAATTTAGTTCAACAATTTTCAACCAACTCTACCAAAATAAACTCTGCTTGTTTGAAAACATTTCAATTAATTGAAAATTAATAATATAGTAAATGATTCTTTCTTTGTTTCCAGGCAAGATATTTGCTTTGTTTTCTTTTAAGATTGTTGGAAAGGAGCCCTTAAATAACCAATAAAATAAAACATCACTTATAAACATGAAAAAAGTGTTTATATATACATTAAGAAATATAATATAAAAGTTCCATCAGTCACTTACAATTTAACAAGAAATTAATATTGAGAAAAAGTAAAAAGAACAAGTTGTTACAAACAATTGTAATAAAAGAGAATAAACAAAAAATCATAAAAATTCAACAAAAAAATGGAGATATTTGAAAATATGCAGAATGAAATCTAAACAATAGAAATGGAGATCAACAAGTTAATTTGCTGGGGAAAATAGAGAAATTTGAGGTTTTGAAAAATTTAACAGAAGTAGAAACAAAGCATGGAATAATATATAAATGTGCGCCAAATATTTTGAAAGTACATGAAGCTATTCTGATGAAATATTTTTGTAAAAACTAAAAAGCTAACTTGAGTTTTGTACAAAAACATATTGTATGTTTTGGAACAAAATATTTTGCTGCTATTTTAGTAGGTTTGGCTATGATTTCAAGAATGTTCCACTTGCTTTATATCAAATATACTGACAAATTTCTTACATTCATGTTCTTTACAGTTCAACCAGAATAATATACAATAATTTAACAATCCACAGACTACATTGTATATAGCTTTATACACTTAAATCCCAACCCAAATTTTTATGCCCCCACTTCGAAGAAGAGGGGGTATATTGCTTTGCACTTGTCGGTCCGTCTGTCCATTGGTCCGTCTGTCCGTCGGTCCGTAGACCAAATGGTTTCCGAGTGATAACTAAAGAACCCTTAGGCCTAGGAACTTCAAACTTGGTATGGTGATTGGTCATGACCAGTTGATGACCCCTATTGATTTTGGGGTCAAAGGTCAAGGTCACATTGACCTTGCATGTTAAAACGGTTTCCGATCAATAACTAAAGAATGCATAAGCCTAGGAACTTCAAACTTGATATGGTGATTGGTCATGACCAGCAGATGACCCCTATTGATTTGGGGTCAAGGGGTCAAAGGTCAAGGTCACATTGACCTTGTAGGTAAAAACGGTTTCCGATCAATAACTAAAGAACCCTTATGCCTAGGAACTTCAAACTTAGTATGGTGATTGGTCATGACCAGCAGATGACCCCAATTGATTTTGGGGTCAAGGGGTCAAAGGTCAAGGTCACATTGACCTTTTAGGTAAAAACCGTTTCCGATCAATAACTAAAAAACCCTTAGGCCTAGGTACTTCAAACTTGGTAAGATGATTGGTCATGACCAGCAGATGACCCTTATTGATGTTAGGGTCAAGGGGTCAAAGGTCAAGGTCACATTGACCTTGTAGGTGAAAATGGTTTCCGATCAATAAATAAAGAACGCTTAGGCCTAGGTACTTCAAACTTGGGATCATGATTAGTCATGACCAGCAGATGACCCTTATTGATTTTTGGGTCAAGGGGTCAAAGGTCAAGGTCACATTGACCTTGTAGGTAAAAACGGTTTCCGATCAATAACTAAAGAACGCTTAGGCCTAGGAACTTCAAACTTGGTATGATGATTGGTCATGACCAGCAGATGACCCTATTGATTTTGGGGTCAAGGGTCAAAGGTCAAGGTCACATTGATCTTGTAGGTTAAAACCGTTTCCGATCAATAACTAAAGAACCCTTAGGCCTAGTGACTTCAAACTTGGTAAGATGATTGGTCATGACCAGCAGATGACCCCTATTGATATTGGGGTCAAGGGGGAAGGTCAAGGTCACATTGACCTTGTAGGTAAAAAACGGTTTCTGATCAATAACTAAAAAACTCTTAGGCCTAGGAATTTCAAACTTGGTATGATGATTGGTCATGACCAGCAGATGACCCCTATTGATTTTGGGGTCAAAGGTCAAGGTCACATTGACCTTGTAGGTTAAAACGGTTTCCGATCAATAACTAAAGAACCCTTAGTCTTAGGAACTTCAAACTTGGTATGATGATTGGTCATGACCAGCAGATGACCCCTATTGATTTTGGGGTCAAGGGGTCAAAAGTCAAGGTCACATTGACCTTGTAGGTAAAAACGGTTTCCGATCAATAACTTAAGAACCCTTAGGCCTAGGAACTTCAAACTTGGTATGATGATTGGTCATGACCAGTAGATGACCCCTATTGATTTTCGGGTCTAGGGGTCAATGTCATAGTGACCTTGTACTTAATGACCGTTTCTGACCAATAACTCAACAACTCAAGATGCCTTGGTTGATATTTTTATGTGCTTTTTGTATACACATTTGAAGGTCTTATGTAATATAACAACTTGGCTGTCATTAATGAGGCCTATGTGATTCATAAAATTTATGTATATATTATTTGATAAGATTTATGATAACTTTAATTGCTGCACACAACCTATGGGGTCACAATAATTATTACCTTGTGACTAATCATGACCAGTAGATACTAGATAACCCTTATTAATTGCTTGTTCACTGGGTCAGAAGTCATGCATAATAACCTGATCACATGACCAATTGGCTGCCGATAGGGGGCATACATGTTTTACAAACATATCTTGTTTATTTATAATGTGAATAATGAAAACTTCACTATAAGACTTTAAATTTATCAGACAGTTACGTCCCGTTGGGGACAGTTATGTCCCGTTGGGGACAGTTATGTCCTGTTGGGGACAGTTATGTCCCGTTGGGGACAGTTATGCCCCGTTGGGGACAGTTATGCCCCGTTGGGGACAGTTATGTTCCATTGGGGACAGTTATGTCCTGTTGGGGACAGTTATGTCCTGTTGGGGACAGTTATGTCCTGTTGGGGACAGTTATGTCCCGTTGGGGACAGTTATGCCCCGTTGGGGACAGTTATGTCCCGTTGGGGACAGTTATGCCCCGTTGGGGACAGTTATGCCCCGTTGGGGACAGTTATGCCCCCGTTGGGGACAGTTATGCCCCGTTGGGGACAGTTATGTCCTGTTGGGGACAGTTATGTCCTGTTGGGGACAGTTATGTCCCATTGGGGGACAGTTATGTCCTGTTGGGGACATTATGTCCCATTGGGGACAGTTATGTCCTGTTGGGGACAGTTATGTCCTGTTGGCGACAGTTATGTCCTGTTGGGGACAGTTATGTCCTGTTGGGGACAGTTATGTCCTGTTGGGACAGTTATGCCCCATTGGGGATAGTGATGTCCGTTGGGGACAGTTATGTCCCGTTGGGGACAGTTATGTCCTGTTGGGGGACAGTTATTGTCCCGTTGGGGACAGTTATTGCCCCGTTGGGGACAGTTATGCCCCGTTGGAGACAGTTATAAATTCCTGTTGGGGACAGTTAGATGGAAAATCTCTGTCAAACCCATACAGTCCATTCCAAGCAATTTGGGTCTAAGGTTATTTTTGGAGCAAAAACGAGACAACTTGACTAGGTTACAAACAACTAAAACATTGTTTAAAGGTATAACATTTGTTATAAGAAAACTTTAAATTGCTTTAAATACAACAAATTGTGGATTTTTTTATATCAACAACACTTTTTACCCAGGCCATCCTTAAAAAAATGTTTGTTTGCAGTAACCCGACCCAGTTTTCAAGGTGGGTAGGTAGGTGGATTTTTTTTTTTTTTTTTTTTTTTATTGAACTGTACTCCCAAATAAACATGGAATTTCAAAATGCTGGACAATATATGCTTTGATAATCTGGTAACAATTAATAAATTGATGACTGAATTCTAATTTAATAAGAACTAATGTGATTTTATTTCTTCTATTAACCTTTAAAAGAACGAAAACAAAGCACAAGGCATAATTTTCTGATTAAAAAAAAAAAAATTATTCAGACCATGAAAAAAAAATTTGAGTAGGGGCAAATTTTGTGAGTCGGTTGCGTTACTGCAAAAACATTTTTTTAAGGATGGCCCCATTTTTAATTGCTTTGATTGCAACTTTGGTTGTTTTACTTTTTTTTATTCATACCAACAAATTTGTTGTTTTATTTTTTTTTTCATACCAACAAATTGTTTTTTTTTCTTTTTCTTTGTTAATTATCAACAAATTTTAACCCAGTCATAAATAAACACTGTAATTATACAGTATAAAATATGAAATGCTTATAAAAAAACAATTAAGTTGATAAGTGTTTATATAATATAGACTTACAAAAAATTACATAATACACTGGCACCACGTTACAATACTTAAGTTGGGATCCAAGGTCTCAACATCATGATATAAACAAGTTATAATAATTATAATGCTCATCACTAGATTGGATTGATGATAGGTTGAAATTTATTGTATTAATTACATTACCCACTAACATATCCCACACAATGGTAATTTAGTTTTGTTAAATTTCAATAAATAGCCAATATTATTATCTTCTTAAATCATACTGCACAGAAGGGCATGTTGGCCTGGTTCTACATTCAATAAGAACAATAAGGGATTACACAGGTTTAAATGTAGCTATTAAAGATAATAACTCCCGAGATATTTGTAATGAAATTTTTCAATGTGTATAACTCACAGCCATATTTTTCATACAACATTAATAGAAAGCTGTTGGTGTAGACCCTTGTGTTACTTTGAAGTTTGGAACACTCAAGGTAAGCCAAAACCATCTTTCCTGCTTCAGCCTGCCCTACCCTATACTGTGTCTGTGTGCAGTTTAACCAGACAAACAAACATGATTGTAATCTGAACATTAGAAATGAGCACTACCAAAATGCAGAGGGAACAGGTAATTTCTCGATTAATATACTTGAATAAATTTCACTCATAAATGCCATACAATATCTTCACACTTTGGATGTAAAGGGTCAGTTTCTTTAGTTTCTATCAGTTCTTCATTTTCACTGACCATTGTGTCAGATCTGTTGTTAAAATCAAATTGTTCATCAGCAATATAGTCAGTGATAGTTTCATTTTTATTTTCTTCCCCATCCATCATAATATTTACTGCTTCAGAGTGTTTATCAGTTTCACCAACACAGTTTTCCTTGCTGTCAAAGGCGATGTATGATTCACCATTCCTATCAATGTCATCTTTATCATGGTCTACCTCCTGACTTACCATATTTTGTTGTGCAGTGTCATTATCAGTCTTATCTATTTTAATTTGAATGTAATTTCTGATGTTGTTTCCAATAATCTCTTTATCCAAAAGTTCTTTAGTAATGAAGGATGATTCATCAGTTATTTCTAATTCATTTCTAAACAACTTTTCATTATTATGGTTGTCAAATGCTTTTTCAAACACTTTGTCTTGCAGACTATCAGGGCTGCTCACTGTATCATTAACTATTGTTGGATTTGTATTTCTTCTGAATGATGTGAATGACAGATGATTGTGGCGAAACTCCTCCTCGTTTAAAGATGATCTGTACCTCGGGAATAACTTGTAAAACACAACTTTGTAGCCACGTTGAACTTCACGAAGACGAATTGCATAAATCAAAGGATCCGCCAATGAATTAAACTGTAGGAGCAGAAACAAGATGTCATTTATAGTAGTGAATCTTTTAACATTCATATAGACATAAAACCTGTCTGTTTTCAATTTTATATACATGTACACTTGAAAGATCCCGTCGGGAGCCCAAAATAACGTAAATGTTCCGATAATAAGCAATGTAGTCACAATTGCTTTATAGCTATGCATTTCATCTTGATGCATCATTCGGTCTCTATTCATTAATTGTTTGACTAAGGTGTAAATTCTGACGTAAATCACTACAATAGCAAGAAGCACGAAGAAAATTACGCCAATAATAATCAGTTCAATGTCGAACTCGTCGTTTGATACTACGATGCAAAATGGTTGTTTCATTTGTCCTTTAGTCACCAGTCCAACTATCACTTCTGTTAGACCCATAATCAAGCTGAATACCCATATAAAAATGATGAGACAATTCCCACGAAATTTGGACATAAAACGTCTGTAATGAAGAGGCTTCATAATGGCTAAGTTATGATCTATGGCCATCACAAACAAGTTTATAAGTGTTGCAAGAAGGGCTGTGTCTAAAATTAGACGTTTGGTCAGTTTTGTACAAGCATCCCATGATGTAAATATGTACATTAAATTGTGTAAGAGTATGGCGATGAGAATAAGGCTGTCCGATACACCGAGACTGATGATTAGTTTAGAATGTGTCGACTGACCATGTGGTATGTGAATGGTCGCTATTATCGATAGACAGTTTGCAATTAGACCAAGCACACATATTATAAAAGAAGTCACTTCAATAGGATTTGTGAAGATTTCAGAAGCTCTGTCAGCGGTAGTACTGATCTGGTCAATTGTTGCAGCATCCGCAATTGAATACTCTCCAGTGTCGTTGGTTTCCATTTTTCACATGTGGTTATCTGAAATTACAATTATATAAATGTAAAACTATGATGGTCACCTCATATTGTTCTCATAAACTAACTCACCATGCTCATATTTAGCTGGACTATTTGATAAGAATAAATAGAGCTATCTATAAGTCACCCGAGCGGCAGTGTAACCACTTATGTTTAAAGTTTTTGTACCACCTCAAAGAATTTCAAAGTCCATTGACATATGGTTTTGAAACTTTGCACAATTGTTCACCATCATGCCCCCAACCTGTAAAACAGGAGGAGTTAACTCTATCAAGCATTTTGACAGAAAAAATGCCCCTTTTTCCACATAGAATTTATGTTAAAGTTTGCATACACCTCAGATATTTTTATATTCCATTGACATCTGGCCTCGAAAGAAGTTTTATACAATAAATTATAAATTTTATACACTTCTTTGAGTCCATGATAGGACTCTCGAAGGCCTATAACTGTCACATGGATTTGAAAAAAAAGTTATTGTTAACATAGAAAATTTTACATTATCAAGGCTCTTTTTGCTATCAGTAAAAAATTTGTGAATAGTATAAGCCCTTAATATTGTAAAGGTGATAATTTCAAGACCTATTGCATAAGGGATGATAATTTCTGTGATGGCTTTTTATACCCCCGCACAACAAAGTTGTAAGGGGGGTATACTGGAATCAGATTGTCCGTCCGGCCGTCTGGCCGTCTGGCCGTCCGGCGTCCGTCGGTTTTTTCTTGTCCGCCCAATAACTAAAGATTCCTTTGACCCACAGTCTTCATATTTGGCATGGGGGTTAGTCTTGATTAGTAGATGACCCCTATTGATTTTGAGGTCACCAGGTCAAAGGTCAAGGTCACAGGGGCCTTGACTTCAAAAAGCTTGTCCGCCCAATAACTTAAGATTCCTTTGACCCACAGTCTTCATATTTGGCATGGGGGTTAGTCATGATAAGTAGATGACCCCTATTGATTTTGAGGTCACCAGGTCAAAGGTCAAGGTCACAGGGGCCTTGACTTCAAAAAGCTTGTCCGCCCAATAACTTAAGATTCCTTTGACCCACAGTCTTCATATTTGGCATGGAGGTTAGTCGTGATAAGTAGATGACCCCTATCGATTTTGAGGTCACCAGGTCAAAGGTCAAGGTCACAGGGGCCTTGACTTCAAAAAGCTTGTCCGCCCAATAACTTAAAGATTCCTATGACCCACAGTCTTCATATTTGGCATGGAGGTTAGTCGTGATTAGTAGATGACCCCTATTGATTTTGAGGTCACCAGGTCAAAGGTCAAGGTCACAGGGGCCTTGACTTCAAAAGCTTGTCCGCCCAATAACTTAAGATTCCTTTGACCCACAGTCTTCATATTTGGCATGGAGGTTAGTCATGATTAGTAGATGACCCCTATTGATTTTGAGGTCACCAGGTCAAAGGTCAAGGTCACATATTTGGCATGGAGGTTAGTCATGATAAGTAAATGATCTGTATTGATTTTGAGATCACTGGGTCAAAGGTCAAGGTCACAGGGACCTTGTCAAAATAAAGCTTTTCCTCTCAATTGCTTCAGAGTGCCTGTCCAGAGTGTATTGATTTTGACATTTTCACATTTGAAGCATGTAGAATACATAACTTAGCAATGCACTGGCTAATAGTAACCTCAGATTTGGCAGGGAGGTTGTCCTTGAGTTCTAAATGGCCACTGTTGATTCTGACAAAGTGGTATGCGGGGGTATTCACGCCATGATAGTGGCAGTTCTAGTTAACTTAGAAAATATCTAATTATACCCCCAAAAACGAAGTTTGGGGGGGTATATAGGAGTCACCCGGCGGTCGGTTGGTCTGGCGGTCAGTCTGTCGGTCCAGACCACCGTTGCATTTTCCTTGTCCGGAGCTTAACTTGAAGACTAATGGTTGGAATTCAATTTAACTACATACAATGGTCAAGCACATTGAGAGGAAGTGCAGTGCACAAGAACCATAACTCTATCGTGACTAATTACAGAGTTATTGCCCTTTGTTACTTTTCCTTGTTCAGGGCATAACTTGAAAACTACTGGTTGGAATTCAAAACAATTTCATACAATTGTCAAACACAGTAAGGGGAAGTGCAGTGCATAAGAGCCATAACTCCATTTTGACAAAATACAGAGTTACTGCCCTTTGATACTTTTCCTTGTCTGGAGCATAACTTTAAACATACTGGTTGGAATTCAAAACAACTTCATACAATGGTCAAGCACAAAAAGAGGAAGTGCAGTACACAAGAACTATAACTCCATCTTCAATATTTATAGAGTTATTGCCCTTTGTTCCTTTTCTTTGTCTTTCTGGGCTTATTACAGAGTAATTCAATAAAACTTTATCAATTGCCAACCACATTGAAAGGAAATGCAACATACAGGAACCACAACTATCTTTAATTGCCCACAACCATAACTCTATATTTCAATTATTTTACAAGGTATTCTGTTACTAGTAACATCCTCATTTCCGAAGCAGTCTTGTGGGGGTATTAATCACATTTAGTGATAGTTCTAGTTGTATCAAAAAATGATAAACACCTCTTGTTTAAAAGGGTTAAAATTTGTGATTGTGGTATTTAATTACAAAAAAATAACATAGCATGCTTTGGTACTGAAGTTTGCACGCTTTATTATCAATTAAATAATGTCTTAATACAGTATGAAGAACTCAATGCAAAACAAAATTTATTTTAACATTTTTTGTTGTTTGTAAGTTATTTATAGACCACTTTAAAAGCTTTATAAGAGACAAACACTCCACTTGACAAAAATTTATTAGCTAATTTGTTGTTTATAGACCTTTATTAAAGCAGATTAGAGTTATTTATAGACATCTTGATCAGTCTTTAAGTTATTAACAGTTCATTTGGACAATCTGTAAGTTATTAACAGATCATTTTTGGCCAAAGAGACACCTGCAACTCTGTATTTATATCATGATATTGTAGAAGATTATATTAAAGAGAAATTCGGTTTCTCTAGAGTAATTTGGTATTGATCAGGGGTGCCATGAGTATCTCTAGAAGACATCATGGAAATCTCTTTTAGCCGATTATTAAAATCTTGTAATTGTATTATTACAAAAATTACCTTAATGTAGACTTTACTACATCAGACAAAATCTGTTTTACATCAGATATTTCGTTTATTCTATGAACTGTTGTGTTTTATGGAGTAATTTATATGTTGGGCTTCATTATTATGAATTGTTGACTTACTGTATGTTAAGATTAAGCAATTTTGTCCCTATATTCTTTCTTATGCAATATCAATTAAAAGCTTAATTAGCACACCAAAGTTTGTTAATTATCAATCAATTTAAATCATGTTTATCATCATTTATGTGAGATTAATTGAGTGATGGTGATACTACAGACTTTCCAGCTCTTGCCATGCAGTTACTGAGACCTGTCCCTGAGATACCCTCATTGTTGTATTTTAGACATGAATAACTTGAAGAATAGGATGGGCAGCATGTAGCGTTGCACTTGTCCGTCCGTACGTACGTCTGTCCAAGCGCATGAGAGGGTATATGTTGGGTACTAAATACCCAACAACTACCAATCCTACTCACACCGTATGTATTGTTGGGTATTTTTATTGAATTTTGATGTATTGTTGGGTACTTTTTGAGCTCGACTATTCGATAAGAATAAGTAGAGCTATTGTAGTCACCCGAGCATTGGCATCGGCGTCGGCATCGGCGTCAGCGTCGGCGTAACCACTTATGTTAAAGTTTTTGTAATACCTCAAATATTTTCAAAGTTCATTGACATATGGCTTTGAAACTTTGCACACTTGTTCACCATCATGACCCCAACCTGTAGACAGGAGGAGGTAACTCTATCAAGCATTTTGACAGAATTATGCCTCTTTTTTGACTTAGAATTTACGTTACAAATTTTTGTAATACCTCAAATATTTTCATAGTCCATTGACATATGGCCTTAAACCTTTGCATGTACTTGTTGACCATCATGACCCCAACCTGTAAACAGGAGGAGGTAACTCTATCAAGCATTTTGACAGAATTATGCCCCTTTTCCGACTTTGAATTTACGTTAAAGTTTTTGTAATACCTCAAATATTTTCAAAGTTCATTGACATAAGGCTTTGAAACATGTTGAAATTTTATACTCTTCCTTGAGAGCATAATAGGACTCTCTCCAATTCCTAAAACTGTAATATGGATTTAAAGAAAAATTTTGCCTTTTATTTTACTAAGAAAATTTAACTTTTAATCAAGGCTTTTTTTACTATCAAGCACTAAGAATAGTCGAGCGTTGCTGTCCTACCGACAGCTCTTGTTACACAGTAAAATACCCAACAAGACTACAAATGTAAGGACGTATGTCCGTCCGTACGTCCCGAAATCTTGTGAATGCAACTCCTCTTAAACTGGATGGCAGATTTTGCTTAAACTTCCAGGGATGAACAACCTTAATGTGAAGATGGAAGTAAAGGAAGGAATTTTTGCTGCGACCAAATTTAACAGAATTATGGCCTTTTGTTGATTTTTTCACTATATACTATGTAGAAATTTTGTGAACACAACTCCTCTTAAACTGGATGGCAGATTTTGCTTAAATTTCAAGGGATGAACAACCTTAATGTGTAGATGGTAGTAAAGGAAGGAATTTTTGCTGAGACCAAATTTAACAGAATTTATAATGGCCCTTTGTTGATTTTTTCACTATATACCATATGTATGTTGTCAGTGGGGGCATCCATGTCCTTTGGACACAGTTCTAGTTTCTATTACATAAGTACTTGAGAAACAAAGTTTGTTATTTCAAATGATTTTGTAACAAAAGGATACAGCTCTATGTACAGTATGTGGGTGGGATGATAACCCGGGTGTAGATTTTCCAAGGTTTTTGGCTCAAAATCCTTGGAAAAAAACCTCGGAGTATTGGAACAAGAAAATGCAAAACTTTGCTATTAAAAAAACCTTGGAAAATAGGGAGAGGGTGAAAAACCTTGTAAAAAATTTCCGAG